TACTAAGCTATTAATATTTTACTAAAAAACACACTTTATTACCCTGTAGGCAGCAAACCTAGGTGCTCGTTAAACCTAATGTTATTTGAATAGATTTATTTGAAAATCAAATCAGGCAAACGGAAATTCGCTTAGTCTGCAGGTTTGCTGCGGCGGGGGTATTGTTCAGATTTTATATTAATCGTTTGGTATGTCATTCCCTGGTGTTTTTATATTTTGTTATTGTTTTTATCTATAAATTTTCTATTTTTCAATGTACCGTTTACTTAGAATAGGCTATTTACATACATTATATGCTTGTGACTTTGTCAATTGCACACATGTTTTTAAAGACAATAAAAATCTTTGACTTTGACTTAGCTAGTTGGGTATAAAATAATATTATTATACACCTAGAAAATCTGGGAAGGCTAAAAGACGCTCTAATCCCACCCCCTTGCCACCAATGGATGCTATGCATTTAAATAAACATTCAGTTGGAAACTAAAATCAATTGAACATACGTCTTAAATGGGTGTAAGGGGTTATTTATACTGTAAAATTCAGCGTTTTATGATTTATCTAAAGTTATTTTATTTTTGAAGTTAACAAAAATAAATGATACTCTCAAATTGACAAATGGGCTTCTCTATAAAACAAAACTCATTTTTCATAAATAATATCTACTGTTGCATGTTTTTAGCTGGCTGAGAAACTAACTGGCCTGAATAAGTGGTATTAGAGTCAAGAATCAATATCGCCTTGAATCGAACCAGGAGCATTGTAGTCGAGGCATGGGCCTAGCTACATACCCAGACAAGTCAATGAGCTATTTTGTTGCATACATTGTCAAGTATTTTCAATGCAGTAGGTTGGTGGTGGTTGAAAGCAAAAATGTTGAACCTATAATCCAAAACTTAAATAGCTTATTCCCTATAGGGAAATTCGCTAAAACCCAAATCTCGAAAATCAATTACGAAACCTTATTTACTTGTCTGGATAAGTTACAAATATAAAACCAGTTAAATAAGTCATTGATAACCTGAAGAATTTAAATAGGATATATTATGGCATAAATAACTACAATTTGAAAATATTGTTATCCATTTATTGAATCAGGAACAGCTGGATAGGACGGAGTTTATGAGCGGTAAAGTTGGCACAGAAATGGAAATCAAATCAGCTGATATGACAATGATCTGAAGAAAAAATATGTATCAACAATTACCAATAATTATACAATACAATATACATTAAACACCTTTGACGTGTTAAATACAGCAGAGTCCAGCTAATCTGAACAAACTGGGACGGGACCCTATTTGCATTAGCTGTAAAATTACACAACAACTCAAAACTATGTATTTTTATGTAGCACTCTTTTGTTAAATGCTCTTATATTGCTCCTGGGATTACAACATCGTGATCGTCTCCTGCGTCAAGAAAACATTGTGATCGTTTCCCGCAATCATGGACCTATGATCACTGATCACTTCTTATAATATTCTTCTTAGAACATGGCAGCTTTAAACGAGACCAAACAGAATGTCATTGATGAACGGACACATTGATGCTACCATGTGTTGGCGATCGTTAAAACAAAGTCCAAACAAAATTCAACACAACAATTCCTGGTTTTCTCAGTCTCCAGTTCTCCAGTTGGGTGAAGATCCTGGTTCATATTTCAGAACACATTAGTTTGTTTTAATTGAAATACAGAAATCTTTTCTCCCCAACAGGTGGTTTGGATTGTCCGGACGTTCAAATTAGCAGAACTTTGGTGTATTAACGAGAATACAACATAAAATATGTCTATACGTCTAAGTACAATGAATTCACGTTAATCTAATTTTTATGTGATTAGAAGAGTAGTTATCGTGTTAGAAAGGAAAGAAGAAAAATATTTTAAGTACAATCTTTTACTATTAATACAACTACTTCAGTACCCAATAGTCAATGGTAAATGTAGATAGATAAGTTGTATTTATATTGATAGTTCAGTTATACTGTACAATGCTATCTAGTAAATTGATAGGTAGTATTTAAATTCATGAAGAATTAATAATTATGTTTTGTTCCACAATGGTACAGCTTTTAAAATCGCATTTTGTTTTTTTAAGGGTACAGTCTACTCTTGGTAATTCAAACATCCGATGATTTAAAATAAAAGCTGTTTGTAGAGCATTTCTTGAAGTTTTAGTTTTACCATACATTACAAATTTTTATACACTCGGTATCTCAAAGTCTGAGTAGAGGGAAACTTACAAAAAAATAAGTAACATTATAATGTCTGCTTGAATGGCACATTCAGTTGAAAATCCCCAAAAATATACACTGAAGTCAAATCTCAAAAACCTGCAGTAGTATTTTCCCACTTTCGGCTGCAGTTATAACAAATACCCCTGCCGCAGCAAACCTTCCATTTACCTACCGGATTTCTACTAAAATATTCTTTTAAAATTGTCAGATTTATTTCCTATTTAAATAACATTAATTTTAATGAGTACTTAGGTTTGCTGCTACAGGGAAGATAATGAAGTGTGTTTTCTTATTGAAATGTTGATAGCTTAGTAGGAAATAAACAAAATTGCTAAATTTGACAACAATATATCCATAAACAAGCAAACTACAACATTTCATTTATCCTCCATAAGAATAACATGGACATTTTTAATTTACAATTTGACATTGGCCCAATTAAAACCCTCTGGGGCGGAGCCCTTTTGACGGATATGCCCCAAAATTCACACAAACCATCCTAGAATAATGCATAATAATGCCTGAAAGTTTCATAACAATCTGTCAAGTGGTTTCGGAGTCCATAAATAAGGTACATACATAGTTATAATGCTTATACATACATAGTTCCTCTTTTATAGATATAGATTTTTTGAATTATCTCTGTAGGAAAACTACAACGCTGTAATATACTAAGTTATTTCTTTTTTAAGCTCTAGTAAATGGCTTAGAAAGAAATTGCAAAATCTTAAGTTTTGAGGGTTAAAAATGGGAAAAACAATTTTTACCTCATAAAACCCCGTATAGTGTTAGTCCCTGTTAGCCATTGCATGATTGATCATGCTGGTTCACGGACTCGTTCAAACAAATGTTTGTATGTAAACAAATGATACATGTTTGTACCAAATTTCATCAAAATATAAACAATTTTGCTTGAGTTATCACGTTAATGGACACACATATATATGTGTGTGTGTGTGAATTTGAACAGAGGGTGTTTTTGGCCTCTGTAGACCTCACAACAAAAAAATTCAATCGGTCCCGGCTCTAGGTCTTACCAATAGCCCTACGGTAATACCATATTCCCTATATGGGAAATTTGCTAAAATTAAACTATATAACTATTTGTATTTATAAATATGAACACAACAACTTAGAACAATAAAACAATCAGTTTATCTAATGTGTGATTTGGACCAAACACACTTCATGGTTAGTTGTACCATAGACTAACCAACACAAGTAGACTTCTCATCCCATTGTAAATTTTGAAGCTCGTTTTTCATGTCTAGTTCATGTACGCCACACTGGGCGCTAGTGTCGACGAAATTTTGTTTATATTATTTTAGGGTTAATTTCTTGATTTGTGCTTTACTGTTTGGTTAAATAACTAGGGGACAATTTATTGTTTATGATTAGATCGTATTATTTGGTTAAACGAGGTTTTAGATGACTGTATTAACGGGAAACAAATTGTAAACAAAACACGACCTCTAACATAAACCGTACAGAACTAACAATAAAATTGTCTTCATCTGTTCCATTAGGATGAGAAATCTACTAAGGGAGTATGTTTTATTTATGGTTGTACTTAATTAATCCTTTGGTTAGGCTATATTTTTAAGATATTTTTCTTCAGATAGCCTAAGTTAGCAAAACCTCAAAAATGTTCTTAATACATTTTTTTCTCATTAATTCATTTCTAAAATTGCTAAACTGTAAATAATAATGTGTGATCTGACATAACATAAAAAAAACATTATTTTTTTATTAATATTTACCACAGATAAACTGATGGTTTTTAACACTAAATCTACATTAGACCTTGAGTTTTCTTAGACAAAACACCAGCAGAAAAAAGTATTATATACTGTATATATATAAACTAATAGACACTAAATAACTTACAAAATAAATAAATATAAACTATAAAAATAGTAGATTCATCTTAAATATTATGAGATCCAGAATTGAATATTGTAAATGATCTTACAAAGTAAGTACAAACTTATATTAGGCACATAATATTTTAAGCTGTGAAAAGTATAAGCAAATGGGGTAGTCCTCGCCACCCTAACTTGAGGCAGCCCAAGGCCGCACTAGATATACGGTGTGCGTCCTTGGGCTGCCTCAAAAGTTAGGGTGGCGAGGACTAGAACTGGCCGAGAAGTAAAAGATTAATGTAAAAAATAACATTTTAAATTAAGCTTAGCTTATTTTATTACTTTCACTGAAGTAAATTATTTGAGAAATGGCTATAGAAGATTTTATGTATACAATTTTTATCTGAAATATTTACAACATTACAGTAATAATTTACTATCTACAACTGTAAAATTATGCGATCTTGGCAAAATTGAATTGTAATAATATATATTCCTATATCACCAAGCCGCTAGAATGCTATTTTTTTGCCTTAAAAAAGTATTTTGCTTCATTATTTGTAAACTTTCACCAGAGAGGTTTGTTCTATTTCAGTAAATTTCATAATTTTAATAAACAAAATAAATATATAAAAACACATTATGCATCAAAATTCAAAGTAACAAAATAAAAATACTGGCAGAGGCAAGGAGTAGTTCAAACTACGAGAGTATTTTTACTATTTTGTGTACGGTTTAACTGAGATAAAAAAAATTACCAGGAGACCTACGGTAATAGCTACTTCCATATAGGGAAATTCACTGAAAATAGATTATGTAGCTATGACACTATATATCAGTTGAAACACTTGAAGCACAAGTTTGCCTCTTCTAAGAAGGACCGAGGAAATGTAAATCATATTAAAACTAACATTTTTATTGTAGTAAGAAATTAAATTAAATCAAATAAGGTGATGAAAAAAACAAAATAAACTTTATTTTCCCACAGTTACCAGATAAAGCAGGCTTCCTTGCACTGATTATAGTACGCGAAGTAGCTAATCGCTGCATTTACTTACTTTGGCCGCACTCATTTCTTTTTCGGCACTCCAGTGTTCCAACCAAACAACGCAAAACAGTGTGCTTTTGTTAGGCACGCATTATGTGTACGCTTGAAAATAAGTCGACAACACTTAAAGATATTAAGACTACGATCAGCTGGTGCATTGTTTCCCATTTCGTTCTAACGCTTGGATTTTATCTATCCTAAAACGTGTTGTTTAGTATTTGAAAGACTAATTATTCATATGCTTTATAGGAACTGTAGGAAAAATATAATGTGTAACCGCGGGCAAAGTGCCTTTGCTGCACTCGAGAAACTTTCCACACATTTCTCTCATGTGCAGCAAAGTGTCTCTTCGCACACTAGTTACACAAATAACTATTTCCATAAAAATGAACAATTGGAATATTAATTTCAATTAGGCCTACTTACAGATACTTCTCCAATCCATTTTCCGTCACAAATAGATGAATTTCTATCGCAATGTGAATACTAGCTGCAACCAACAAGTGAAGTAAATTTTGTTAACTGTGTATTTCATCTATAATAGAATAGGTTTATTAAATGTGTTTATCACTAAGCTTCTTAGGAGGAAATTTTAAAGTAGACTAAATAACATTGTAATACTTCTTTGAAAATACCTTAGTAGAGCGACAAATAAGTTAGTTACTATACAGAATTCTAAAAATCCTTTACATGATACAGCACAATATAATGATGCAACTCGGTGTTAATTACATATGAATCAATTACATTTTATCTTGTACGAATAGCCTATTCAGTCCATGTAAAATAATAGTTACTACATGTTGTACAAAGGTTTATTGTGGACATTTTCCATCACGATGGTAAAAAACAATACACAACATTTCGGGATCTGGAATCTGATCCCGTCCACAGGTGAAAAAACTTTACTAAGTAACACATTACAACTAAAATACACAAACGCCCAACCAAAGTTGGAATACACTACAGAGACTATCTAGATTATCATCACTTGACTGCTATACAGTGCATATTTTTTTACTGCTACTCTCTCTAGTGTATTCCAACTTAAGTTGGGCGTTTGTGTATTGTTAATTGTAAGTTGTAATGTGTAAGATAGGTTTTTTCACCTGAGGACGGGATCAGATTCCAGATCTCGAAACGTTTTGTATTGTTTGTTTACCATCGTGATGGTAAATGTCCACAATAAACCTTTGAACAACATTAACTCACCATCACCAACAATAAATTTCAAACAAAGGAGTTACTACATGCAACACTAACAACTACTTACTGACAAGAACTACCAGTAGAATACTTCTACAAATACACATCTAACAATTATGTAACTACTTATAGCACCAAGATCAAAAATAAGTTTAGATTGCCTAGAAAATTAACAGTTTGCTACATCAACTATATTATTCCACCACAGCGAAAACCCGAAACAGGAATAATAAGCGCCAACACTTGTAAACTTGACTACTTTTTATATTAATCGTGTTAAAAATTTTCTGCAATAATCTCTTATATCACTTAAACTTACCTTCACCAAAAACTAACTTCCAACGAAGAATTAACTGACTAGGCGTTAACAATAATTAATAACAAAACATTGAACATCTATTAAAAATTAATCAATGCATAAAGCTTGCATGGTAGGGACAAGTTATTTTCAGACAGGCCTGTATAGTAAAAACCATGAATCCTGTTACTTGATTTACTTATAGTGATTACATCATCCACCCAGGATTATATGTTTGAGAACTGTTAAATACAACAAGTTATCGATTAAAACTAACAAAGAATGTTGTGCAGATCACGAAACTACAACTAGACAAGTGAATGGTAACTTGGTGGTAACTAAGTCTAATAACTAGTGGCGATCACCGTACACATCGGTCTGCGTCTCAATATCCGAGAACCCGAGTAGAATGTCGTCGCAAGTTTGTGTACAGGTATCCCACAACTCGTGAGTTTGCGTTTCAATGTTTGAAATATCAGTGAAATTTTCAAACAGAGACTCTATAGAAAACTCCGTTTGTGTTTCGATACTGCAGGATTTGCTGTCGTCTTCATTTTTGATAATTGACGAGAACAGCCTGTCGGTGGAATTGGTGTCTATGTCGAAGTAGCTGGACTTGTCTGTGTTGGTGATGTTCTCAGTCTCGTCAAACAGATTACCGCTCAGGGTAGGCAGGGGTTCTGAGCTATCAAACATGGCAGAGGTCTGTGTTCCTGAACAGAGCCACAGGCCGATGTCTTTGACAGCAAATGACTCCTCGCTCGTCACAGTAGAGGTGGGCTCTGATACCTTAGTTTGAGTTTCCATACTTTTCTTCCTTCGGCGATTCATGTTCTTCTTCACATCTCCCACTGTCTGCGTTTGCGATGATATTCTTGTTCTTTTTTCACCCGTCTGTGAAAATATTATGTCAGTTAATATAATGTATTTCTTATTGTACCATAACAGTATAAAATACCCCCGCCGCAGCAAACCTGCAGACTAAGCGAATTTCAATTTGCCTGATTGGATCTACACTAAAATATCTACTTAAAAATATAACATTTATTTCCTATTTAAATAGAATTAGTTTAACAAGTACTTAGGTTTGCTGCAACAGGGAGGGTAAAACGGTTTTTTTTTGTAAAATGTTAATAGTTAGTAGGTAACAAATAAAAACATTTTCCACATGTGATCAAAATATGTTCATAAACAAGCAAACTACAACACAGTTTACTTGTTCTCCATAAGAATAACATGGCAATTTTAAATTTACATTTTTTTTTTCATTTTCTCCGTAACCATATTAGGCGCATAATAACGCTTCAATATACTCTTTTTTTAAGCTCTACAAAATGGTTTGGAAAGAAATTGCAAAATGTTATGTTTTTTTGGGTAAAAAATGGGAAAAACCTATTTTTACCCCATAAAACCCCCCGTAAACCCCCGTTCCCATAGTCCGATCATGCTGGTTCGCGAACTCGTTCGAATAAATGTAGGTTTACACGTTTATACCAAATTTCATCAAAATCATTTTTGCTCTAGTTATGGTGCTAACGGACACATATATATAAATATAAAAATTAAATATATAAATACCTATATATATATATATATATATATATATGAAGGTACTTCAGTATTAAACGGAGGCCACATTTTGTCAGCGCGCTGCGGCGGTTATGTTAGGTTGGGTTATCATAATAGAAAGTATCGTTCGATTCATAACGAAGCGAGGAAAGTCCTACACACATAATATTTACGATAATCCAACCTAACATAACCGCCGCAGCGCGCTGACAAAATGTGGCCTCCGTTTAATACTGAAGTACCTATATGAATTTGAACGGATGGTGTTTTTGGCCTCTAGGGACCTCAAAACGAAAAAAAAAAATCTTAATAACACAAGGCTAGTAAAAGATTGATAAGTAACAACACACAAGGAATAAAATATTGGTCCTATTCCAAACACAAACCCACACCGTGCATTTTTACATTACAATTTTCAAAAAAAAAAAAAAAAAAAAAAATACTACTAATGTTACCACAAACATAAAACCATCAAATTTTGTATAATGATAGCTATAACAAACAGTGACCCTATAAACTATCAATATTCAAGCGGCAGATGACAGACTGACCTGTGTTTGCCGAGAGGTGTTCCTCCGTCTCCGTTGGGAGGTAGGCTCCGTCTGCACTGCAATGTCGACACTTTTGTGACTCGAAAGGACGACCCCACCAAGGGCTACTGCTGCCGTGGCCACCATTGAGTCGCACTTTGGCAGTATCGCGCTAGGCTTAGCCGCTGCTACAGGTCCTAGATTATCATTTTTTTCGGTCTTGCGAGTCCTGTCAGAAAAATGTGTCATTAGTAAGAACAACTAATTGTTGTACTCAAGTCAAGTCAAGAACTCGTTGAGTCAGTATTTTAGCTTATTTTTAAGTTTTAATTTATTACTAGCGTAATAATTATTTTGAGATTCCAAACCTAATTTATCATGAAAATAATAGTTTTATAATGGCTGTTAAATTTCACCTCTAACTCAGTCAGTATTTTTGTTTTTTTTTTCATGATGGGTTAGCCTCTGGATCGTAAATTGCAATATAAAAATGGTTTATTTTACCTTTATGCGTCGAACGATCCGTGTGTAGTTAGTACAACTACAGCTGTTTCATACCACTAGGGTACATCATCAGGTTGTTGGTAGAACGTTAGATAAAACAGCATTCATTCATAGATGAACTTGTCGAAATAAATATGTCTATATACACATAATACACGAAAAACATTTAAATGACACGAATTTACGAACTTGGCCAAGTAACGAACACACGAGACAGGCGCCGATGTTGCGTCATGACTGCTGTCGTGTGTCCAAGCATCAGCTGTTACCCCTCCCCCCCGACTCCTTTATCAGGACCAGTTTTGTTTTGGTTTAAATGAATCGCAGTATTGTAGATAATATTAGATCTGAATGAAATTTGTTTGTTCAATATATGGTCAGGGTGTTCTTTGGATGCATTGTAGTTTTTTTTTCTTTGTTATACAAGGCATCCAAAGAACACCCTGACCATATATTGAACGAACAAATTTCATTCAGATCTAATATCATCTACAATACTGCCATTCATTTAAACCAAAACAAAACTGGTCCTGATAAAGGAGTTGGGGGGGAGGGGTAACAGCTGATGCTTGGACACACGACAGCAGTCATGACGCAACATCGGCGCCTGTCTCGTGTGTTCGTTACTTGGCCAAGTTCGTAAATTCGTGTCATTTAAATGTTTTTCGTGTATTATGTGTATATAGTGTATATGAAATTTGTTCGTTCAATATATGGTCAGGGTGTTCTTTGGATGCCTTGTAGTTTTTTTTTCTTTGTTATACAAGGCATCCAAAAAACACCCTGACCATATATTGAACGAACAAATTTCATTCAGATCTAATCATCTACAATACTGCCATTCATTTAAACCAAAACAAAACTGGTCCTGTTAAAGGAGTTGGGGGGGAGGGGTAACAGCTGATGCTTGGACACACGACAGCAGTCATGACGCAACATCGGCGCCTGTCTCGTGTGTTCGTTACTTGGCCAAGTTCGTAAATTCGTGTCATTTAAATGTTTTTCGTGTATTATGTGTATATAGACATAATTATTTCGACAAGTTCATCTATGAATGAATGCTGTTTTATCTAACGTTCTACCAACAACCTGATGATGTATTCAAGTGGTATGAAACAGCTGTAGTTGTACTAACTACACACGGATCGTTCGACGCAAAAAGGTAAAATAAACCATTTTTATATTAGTATTTTTGTGTAGGTACATTTAATTGTAGGCCATTGCCTACTGCCGTAAAACAGTTTTAAAATGGTTTCATACTTGTAACTAATCTACAGTCTTATTTTATAAGATAAAATATTTTAGGGATATTTTATCTTTCAATTGACTAAACAACAAGCGTCGTTGTTTGCATTAGTTTTTTTTTCTTTGTTATGCAAGCTTACTTGGTCTGTAATCATGTCATTGCATATTCTGTGAGAATAAGGCTTTTGCAATTTGCTTGTTTATGAATATTTTTGGATGAAACTTGGCAAATGTATATAATTTATATGAAGCTATCATTATATTTTTTGATTACTTTTTTTTAGAATACTTCAGGCTAGACCTAGGGGTTGCGGCATTATCACTTAGATAAAATCCATTGGTGATTTGGAGGAATTTGAACCAGGGACTGAAGTCCCGCGGTCTAACCACTAGACCATGTCGCTCCCAAGGAAATATTTTAGTGGTAATACCATGATCAGGTACATGGTGATTCACTTAGTCTGCAAGTTTGCTGCGGCTGGGGTATTTTCGATTTTAGAACATAAATCAATAGATAACCCTAAAATACTTTTCCATAAAAACTAGTAAATTAAGGGTACCAACCTGACAGCCGACCATGATTTGATGAACGTATGTCGTTTGCGCGAGGCGTGGGTGAGTAGCGCAGCAATAGTGTTGTATTCGGCCCCGCACGAGCACACAAACTTAACCCCACACTCTTCCAGGTGTCGTCGTCTCAGCTGCAGCGTAGCAAACCCCTTACCGCACTGGTCGCACACAAATTTTTTCTCCATGTGAACTTTTATATAATGCTGCAAAAGAAGATACCCTACAGTTGAATTTTATGACTGATTGTTAAGTTGCATAATGGTGTTATATCAAGTTAAGTTACAAGTGAGCAGGCCCGGACTGGCTCGCCGGGTGCGCATGTAGGGCTCAGGTACATATTTTCTAAAAAGTATTTCAGTAAATTAAAAACCTAACAATTTAGATTTTTTTTCTAAATTGTGTAAAAGGCCTAACTAGTAAATGTTTAATATAAATGCGTACTTTATATAAGATATTCAACTACAACACAAGATAATGTCGTAAGTGATTGGAATAACACTGTAACAGGTGTATAACATTTCTCTGCACCACCACTCAAGGTCACAAACACTGAATACCCTTCCATCTCACCGAGTGCCGAGAGTAGTGGGGTGAGGATATAGCAAAGAATGGTAAAATCACTCTCCTCTGTTTGGTTTGAACAATTTGTAATGGAACTAACAAAACCTATAGGCTAAAAATTCAGCACACAAGTAAATCATACAATTTCCTGGTGAAAGATAGCTCAAAAACATTTTACAGGGGAGAGCCTCCAGACCTTGGGGGTACCTCCCAAACCCCACAGGGAGCTGGCACCACCCGATTAACCTTTAAGTGAAGGGCCCCTTTTAGAGGTCCCAGTCCAGCCCTGCAAGTGAAGGTTCATAGAACAAAGCCAACTGTAAAATATTTTCCATAGATTTGTCATCGAATTTGTCACCTTATTGAAGTGACAAGTTAAATGTAAAAAAATTATACAAAAATATGTTAGTAAACTGAGTTTGATTTATCCCTTTTTTTGAATTAGACCTACCTAAGTACTCGTTAAACTAATTATATTTAAATAGGGAATAAATGTGATATTTTTAAGGAGACATTTTAGTGTAAATTTAATCAGGCAAATGGAAATTCACTTAGTGTGCAGGTTTGCTGCGGCAGGGGTATTTTATTTTAAACTAGTTAGGGCAGATAAAAATCAACAGGCTAGAAAAATTTGCCACTCAAAACGGTATAATATATTATGGTTTTCTTCCTAGAATAGATTCAATAAACTTTCAAATTATTGTAGAGCAGTAGGTGGATAGGGCTCCTAGTACAGTAGACTCTCAGTAATCCGGCAGATATAGGACCACCATACTGCCGGATTACTGGAATGTTATCATTAAAAACACTTAAAATGCAATTAAAACACGTCTCCGAAGTTCACGTGATCGGAAACCGCTATTGCCGCGATCGGGCATGACAATTACGTATTCGCGGGAGGCGATGATAACGTCTACACGTCCGCGGGAGATAATCGTAAAATTGCCGCCATCGCGCATGACGACAATGACGTTTTCGTGACCGCGGGAGATGTTCATGATTTTGCCGCGATCGCGCAAGTCGACGATGACGTTTCCGTGACCGCGGGAGTAGACATAATGATGTTTACACGGCCGTGGGAGATGATAACATATTTGCTGTGGCCGTGGAAGGCAACTGTGATATATTTTAAAGTTATATGCACTAGCAGAAAGTAGTGCTATTTAGTTTGTGTGTGTGGCTGCACTGCCAACACAATGACGTCACAGCTGATGTCTCTGAACCGGCCTCAGTTCTACGTTATCTACAGGTTAGTCGTGTCATATTTCTATGTGCGGTTCTTTTAACTCTGTAGTGATAGAATATTATACTGTCGCAGTCGTAGTCGGTGAAAATGTCGAGAGTGGGACGAATGGGAGAGTTTAATCCCAGTGAAGAAGATATTTCGTCATATTTGTTGCGTTTGAAACGTTATTTTATTGCGAATGATGTCAAGGCCACGAGCAAGGTTTCTGTTCTAATCACCGTGTTAGGTCCTAAAGTGCTCGCAGTGTTACGGGATGTAGTTTCCCCTGAAAAAGTGGACGAATTAGATTTTGATAAACTCGTTAAAGTACTGGAACAACATTTTTCACCCAAACGTTTAATAGTGGTAGAGCGTTATTTGTTCAATTCCCGCTCGCAGAGGTCGGGTGAAAGCATCTCAGATTTTGTGGTTGCGATAAAACATCTTTTGGTTTCTTGTCAATTTGGAACATTCCTAAAGGACGCTTTAAGAGATAGGCTAATCTCGGGAATTTCCAATGAACAAATTCGGCAAAAGTTATTGTCGGAGGAAAAAGATTTTGATAAAACTTTGGCGTTGGCGCTCACGTTTGAACAGGCAGACAAGCACACTTTACAAACATGTTTCTCAGCAAACAGGAAACTTTTCAGGATGTGAACAAGTTTCATGTTAGGAAAACCACGTGGCCTAGGGGTAGTAAAATGAAAGAAAGTGAAGGTGCTACGAAATTTTTTAAGTGTTACAGGTGCTTGAAGACCGACCATAAGGCTAACTATTGCCCATATGATAAATATAAATGTCATATATGTTCAAAAGTGGGTCACCTAGGAAAGGCATGCAAGGCTAAGGATAGAGGTAGTAAAACTACTGGAGGTAAATATAAAGTGCATCAGATGTCTGATGAAAGCCCTAGTGAGGAATGTGAAGAGCTAAATTTGTACAATATTGGGCTAGGCCTAACTGACCCTAACTCTTGTTACAAGGTAAGAGTAGCCATAGAAAATGTAGACTTAGACATGGAGATTGATACAGGATCTGCTATCACAGTATGTCCATTTGAAGTGTATGAAAAACATTTTTCTCAATTACAATTGACTCGTAGTAATGTAAAATTACGTGCCTATTCTGGTGATGAAGTTAAGGTAGTAGGCCAAGTAGATGTTAATGTGGTTTATGAACAGACAAGCTACATGTTGCCTATGACAGTAGTGGATGTAGATAAAGCCAATGCACCGTTGCTTTTAGGTAGAAATTGGTTGCAAAAAATAGTTTTGAACTGGAACTCTATTTTTTCAAGTAAGCCTAATGCAGTCCAGACTCATAAGCTCTGTACACAGTCTAGGCCTAGTTCTCGAGACCATGATGTTTTGGCAGAACCTAGCCTAACCAAGGTCCAAGTGCCTAAAGATGTTGATCTCTTGAAAAATAAATATTTGTCTGTATTTAAAGGTAAAATAGGTGAAATTAAAAATGTGAAAGCTCACATAGTATTGAGAGAGGGGTCGACTCCGAAATTTTGTAAATTTAGGCCAGTGCCTTTTTCGTTACGCCATAAGGTTGAAGAAGAGTTACAGAAGATGGTGGATGACAGTGTAGCCTAACCTGTGACTAGTTCGGAGTGGGGCACACCATTGGTAGTCATACCTAAACAGCAGGGAGTTAGGTTATGTGGTGATTTCAAGGTTACCTTGAATCAGGTAATTCAACATGAGCATTACCCTTTGCCTCAACCTGATGATATATTTGCGGCACTGTCGGGATGTCAGTTCTTTTCAGTGTTGGACTTGCAGTCTGCGTACCTACAGATGCCTGTTGCGGAATCGTCTCAAGAGTTATTGACGCTAACAACTCACAAAGGGTTGTTTCGACTCCGGCGTTTGCCATTTGGACTGTCTTCGGCCCCCGCTTTGTTTCAGGCTGCCATGGACAAGATTTTGTCAGGTTTGAGCCGTACGGTAGCATACCTGGATGATGTCATCGTAGGAGGTTCTTCACGCCAAGAAGCGTACTCTCGTCTGGAACTGGTACTACAGCGTCTAAGTGACTATGAGGTCAAAGTTAATGAATCCAAATGTAATTTTTTACAGTCCCAGGTGGAGTATTTGGGTTACCGCCTGTCAGCGGAAGGAATTAGCCCGCAAGTGGGTATTCTTGATGCCATCCGGAATGCACCGGAGCCTACTAACAAAGATGAGCTGCGTGCCTACATAGGCCTAATAAATTATTATGGCCGTTTCATACCTAATCTGTCTGCCAAGTTGAGTTGCTTTTATGATTTGATTAAGAAAGATGTGTCCTGGAAATGGACTAAACAATGTTCTGATGTTTTTCAGTTGAGTAAAACTTGGGTATGTGATTCGCACATACTGGTTCACTATGATGTTAATAAGCCGTTAGTGCTAACTTGTGACGCAAGCCCTAGAGGAGTTGGGGCTGTTTTGTCTCATATTATCGATGGTGAGGAAAGGCCTATTGCCTTTGCCTCCAAGTCTTTGAGTTCTAGTGAGAAAAATTATTCTCAATTACACCGAGAAGCTCTTGCATTGGTTTTTGGTGCAAAAAAGTTCCACAAATATATTTATGGCAGGATGAATGTTATTTTGCAGACAGACCATCAACCATTAACAGCCATATTTGGTTCTAAGAAAGGAATACCTATTCTTGCCGCAGCACGGTTGCAACGATGGGCATTGATATTATCAACCTACAACTTTGAAGTTCGATATCGAAAAGGATCTGAGGTATCACATGCGGATGCATTGTCAAGATTACCCCTACCCATGGATGAATCCCTGGAATTGGAAGCTAACCGTGTCGCCCATGTGGAGGAATGTTTGGAGGTATTCAACTGCCAATTGGTGAGTGAAAATCCACTTACTTCTGTAGATGTAGCGAGATTTACTTGCAGAGATCCACTTTTATCTAGAGTCCGTGATTTTTTGTGGCATGGCTGGAGAGATGTAAAAGACCCTAAGTTGACTCCTTATTTAAAGAGGAAGGATGAGTTGTCCATTGAGGCTAATTGTGTATTATGGGGTTCTCGAGTTGTAATTCCTGATAAACTTAGAGACAATGTGCTTCGGTTGTTACATGACCAACATCCTGGAATTGTAAGAATGAAAATGCTCGCAAGAAGCTACGTTTGGTGGCCTGGTCTTGAACCAGCGATTGAGAGTATGGTTAGATCATGTCATATCTGTCAGAGTTCTCGGAACTCGTCTGTGAAGGTTCCATTGCAGCAGTGGCCTAAGTCCACAAGGAGGTGGCAGCGTGTACATATTGACTTTGCTGAGGAGCCTACTTCTAGACAACAAATGCTTGTACTAGTAGATACTTATTCTCGGTGGATCGAGGTATTTTTGATGAATTCTACTACCACTTCCAGTACAGTTTCCCGTCTTCGAACCCTGTTTGCTT